ATATTTAACGGCAAATTGGATGAAATATTCGAATTTTGACGGTGGGGGGAACATTGATAATAAAATTTAATTCCAGCCTGTAATTGGCTAAAAAAAAAGATCAAGAGGTAAATTGAGAGTTATGTATAAGTTCAGGGGGCAATTCAGCAGTATACCCAAAAACAAATGTAAAGCAACAAAAATTGCTTAAGAACAGGATAATTCGTCGGGATAAATCTATACCGGCAAATTAATGTCAGAAATGATTGCCCATCCCAACCTTACCTTAATTTCTGTGTCTTTTTTTTCTCTTTTTTCGGTTCAATCCAATAAAATAACTTAAATCAAAAGCCAGCTCATCACCACAACCTCATCCAATTCACCAACTCCTGCATTTTCTGGTTGGTTTGTGACACATGAATGACGCAACAAATGCCCACTAAACATTTCAATCAATCACGGGCCCCACCCACCAACTATGGTTGAGGTAGAATTTTGTGTTCGTGGGACCCATTATTGATTATTCAGAGAGGATGGTTCCACAGTTCTACTGCAGCTGAGGAGCAGAGGATTTTTCCCCAAGCAGAGTTCACCTACCCCATTGGCTTGCTGCTGTAGCCATAGCCAATGCTGAAGTGTCATTTTCCTTTCCTTCACCTTCTGTCTAAAATCTATCCTCTCCTCAGCATATTTATATGCTTCATTTGGGTTTCTGATTCTCCAAAAGCCAAAACCCACTTTTCTCAGAAACTTACCAAACCCAATATCACTGTCTCAGACGCGCATACAGAAAAGAAGGAAAAAGAATATGGGCAGCCTCGAAGCGGAGAGAACAACAACAGGATGGGCTGCAAGAGACTCCTCTGGAATTCTCTCACCCTACACCTACACTCTTAGGTAAACCAATCTTAATATCCCTCTTATTTTGTGCCTCTTATTTTTTTTTTTTCTTGAATCAATGATAATTATAAACGTAATATATTGAACTCGTAAAATTTTATCACTAGTCTTGTCACATCATTGCTAATTGCATTTAGCAATTTGCTAATTATTTTTAATTAAATTAATAAATTGCAGGAACACTGGTCCAGAAGATGTTTATGTCAAAGTCCTAAGCTGTGGGATTTGCCACTCTGATCTTCACCAGGTCAAAAATGACCTTGGCATGTCAAACTATCCAATGGTTCCCGGGTAAGACCGTTCGCCAGTACCACACTATAATTACTCCATCAATTCTTCCTTTTTATGTCACTTCCTCATATGGTTTGTAAATTAATGACAAGTTGCCATATCTGCTATGTTATGTTATTAACCAGGCATGAGGTGGTTGGTGAGGTGTTGGAGGTGGGATCAGATGTGACCAAGTTCAGAGTAGGAGATGTGGTTGGAGTTGGCCTCCTTGTGGGTTGCTGCAGAAGCTGCAACCCATGCAAAACAGACAACGAGCAATACTGCAACAAGAAAATCTGGTCTTACAATGACACTTACTTGGATGGCAAACCCACCCAAGGGGGTTTCGCTGGTGAACTGGTCGCTGATCAAAAGTAATCACCAAACCCTAATAAACCATTGTTTACAACAAAATTTGCATTACCTTTGGCCATTATTCTAAATTTCTGTTTAAATTACAAGTTCGGATCATCTGCTTATGGCCAAAATATGACTAAAATATGGCTTCAATAGCTAGTCTTTGTTCATTTTAAGTTTTTATTAATCATGTTCTCAATTTTATCTCCGGTGAAGGTTTGTGGTGAAGATACCGGACGGCATGGCCTGGGAACAGGCCGCGCCGCTACTGTGCGCGGGCGTGACGGTGTACAGCCCACTGAAGCACTTCGGTCTAAATGTGAGCGGATTAAGAGGAGGAATATTAGGGCTTGGGGGTGTAGGACACATGGGGGTGAAGATAGCAAAGGCCATGGGACACCATGTGACTGTGATAAGTTCTTCAGACAGGAAAAAAGAGGAGGCTTTGGAGCATGTTGGGGCAGATGAGTTCCTGGTCAGCTCAGATGCCACTAGAATGCAGGAGGCTGCAGACTCATTCGATTACATCATTGACACAGTGCCTGTTGTCCACCCACTTGTGCCCTACCTCTCTCTGTTGAGGCTTGATGGCAAATTAATCTTGATGGGTGTTATTGGTGCCCCTTTAGAATTTGTCTCCCCCATGGTCATGCTTGGTAAAATCCCACTTCTACCACTTTCAAATTTTGCAATTAAATTTATAGTTCTTATCTGGGTTAGTGGATTAATTCAAAATTATGGCTTAAAAAACCTTGGGTTTGTGTTTTTTATATATAATAATATCGGTTTCTATTGGAATTATTATGTGTAGGGAGGAAATCAATCACAGGGAGCTTTGTGGGGAGCATGAAGGAAACAGAGGAGATGCTTGAGTTCTGCAAAGAGAAAGGATTGACATCAATGATTGAAGTGGTTAAGATGGATTATGTCAACACAGCCTTTGAGAGGTTGGAGAAGAATGATGTTAGGTACAGGTTCGTTGTGGATGTGGCCGGCAGCAATCTTAATCCATAGAGAGATAAGAAGAAGAAGAGAAAAAAACACAGAATTCTGTTTTTTTATACAGAGCTTTCTGTTTCGATAAAGAAAGAAAAAGGATGAAATGGTGCTTTCATTTCATATGAGTGGATGTTTGTTTTTGTTTTGTTTTGTTTTTAAGTATTTGAATATGGTGATTGAGGTGGGGGGGCAATTTGATTTGGTGTGGGATGATGACTGTGAAACAAGGAAAGATACCAAATTTTAGGTGAGAATTGCGTCGTATATCAAAAGACAAGTACTTCTGCTTTGGCTATGGGCAATTGCTTGCTTTGTCATATAAGGAGTCCAAATGCATGAATGAGTGTGTGTGGATAGGCTTGGGTTCTTGGTGCAATTTTTAATTTCTTGTTTTTAAGAATCATTTTTATTAAGAAGGAAAGAGGACGACCCTGCAAAGTGTAATGTGGAAAATGCTTAGTGTATGTCAGTCTTACAATGAGTCTCATATCGAAAAGTCACTCGTAAGTGGCTAGTTGAAGCGGAAAAAAAATCCATGTTTGATGGGTAGGATAAGTGGTAGGATTGGATTCATTTATGTTAGAATTTAGGATGTGTGATGTGTGATGCTCTGATATCATTGTTGGTTTATGTGGTGAAGGGGTTTAGGACAATAGACAATAGTTGAAACAAAGTAATTTTGTTAGATTTAGAGGAGAATAATACATGGCTTGGTGTAGGCTAATTGGCCTCCTTAGTTTTTTTTTTCTTTTTGGGGCTTATTGGCCATCACACTTGCCTAAATTAGTTTGGGCTATTTGGCCCCTCACTTAAATTGATGAGCTTATTGGCTCCTTAACATAGCTTTGTTTGGTTAGCTCTTGGCTCCGTTAGTTTGGGAGTTCCTTTTGTTGGACTCCACATGGATTGTGGTTGCATGCCTATTTATAGGCTAGGTGTTGCCGCCATTGCCCAAGTCCCACCAACTTGTCTCTCCTAGCCACATATTTTATGAGTAATGCTATTTGGACAGACAACATTGACACACTTAGTGACACCCGCTGATGTGTCAATGTATCATTTGCTCTTTTTTTCTCCTCGTTTTCTGTTCAGCGAATGATACATTGACACATCAGCGGGTGTCAACTAAGTGTGTCAATGTTGTGTGTCCAAATAGCATTACTCATCTTTAAATAGCTAGAAAAGTCTAGAGAAATAAAATATGAGTAATGCTATTTGGACACACAACATTGACACACTTAATTACTCATTTAAGATAGTTGCTAGATATTTCTAGTCTTTTACAATAATTATGCCATGCAACATTGAGCTTGCCAACTTTGCATAGTCCGTGAAGTCTTCCTCTTGAATTCTCTAGATTCTTCTTGAAATCTTAAGCACAAATGTGCATTATTTTCAACAGTTTAATTCAATCTCATGTTTGATACTTAATAAAATGAAGGAAAATAGACAATCATACACAATTCAATGCAATTTTATCTCACCTCCTAATTCAATTTAATTTTAGTCACTAAACATATATTGGTGACAAAGATATGGTAACAAAACAATCATTTCAACTAGTGAAGTTCACATTTTTTATGAAAATAAAATAAAGGCTTATATACTTAGTGCTTCTGAAACTATGGTCAAGGCTCACTTTATCCTCTAAAGTTAAAGTGGCCCACTTGATTGATGTTTTGTGTTTCATTTTACCTCATGTTGTCAAGTCTATAAAAAATCTGTTTAAAATGCTGACGTAATACGAGTGGGACCTATTATTATACTCAATTATATGCAATGTGTACCAAAAATACTCTAAAAACAACTTCAACCAAAAAATTAAAAAAAAAACCTCTATTCCCTCTTCTCCTCCATCCCCAAGGCACCTACCCACCCCACTGCCCACCGCCTACCGCCCACCTGAACAACCCCTCCCTCTCTGTCTCTCTCCTTCTTGCTCCTGCCTCTAGTGAAGATATGACAAATACTTGGACAAACTAAAAAGTAATCTAAATAAATAAACTAGAAATTGTCTTAGAAAACAGAAGTTTTCCAACCTGAAAATTACATAAAATAAAATCTTTAAGGGAGATTAACTATTATACTCAATATAGGAGCTCAAATTATAAATAAATAAAATTTATTAAAAAAAAAACCCTATATGAAATGGATTTTAGAAACACACCCAAAGCTCATTTACAAAATAACAAAAAGACTTTTAACTTATTTTAAATTACAAAACTTCCATTGATTTCTTAAAACAAACCCAACCTCAAAACCTCATAAAAAAACCAAAAACACTCAATAGGACATCAAAGTAATTTAATAATCAAAATTAAATTCAATAAGGCCAGCTATCATTTTTTGGGTTTTTTTTTTTTGGTTTGTTTATAGAAATTAAATGATATAGGGTTTATTTATAATTTTAGTGCTAAAAATGAGTATATGACCAAATATCTCAATCTTTAAAGCCATGCAATAAGTTAATCTTATCCCACAAAATATCCTCCTCCTCTCCCTTATAGCAGTGCATGTTGGAATTACCCTTAGTTGCCTCATACAACCTTAACCACACAGATAATGCAATTAGGCATGGAAAAAGCAAATGATTCGTGGGTGTGGGTCAAAAACTAGAGCATCTTGCTCTGAAGAAACGCAATTGGTTAATCTCACTATGAAGAAACAAACAGAGCAAAAGCCAGAGTATCTCGCTCTCAGTGGGCAATGGATCCAGTCTCATTCGTGTGGGTCACAGTTGGCAATATTGCTCTCAAGATCCCAGTAGCTTCCAAGCTCGCCCGCTCCGTCGTCCACCCTTCTTCCTCGTCGTGTTTCTGCAAGATCAAGCTCAAAAACCTCCCCCCTCAAAACGCCTCCATCACCTACCTCCCGTCGGAGGCCGAGACCCTTGACAGCACTACTCAAGCCAATGCCATGGCCTCCCGTCGGAGGCAAAAATACTCCCATAAAAATATGGTAAGCCTAGCATTTTCCTTTCTTATCCCTTTTAATTCCAAACATATATAAGCTAAAAGTTACAATTACTAGCATTTTCATTTGTACTTTTTATTACTATTGATCTAATAAAATTTTATGGTCTTTTTATCCCAAAAAAAAAAAGTTATAAGTTTCTTTCTCTTCCTTGCGTTTGTGACCAATTAGGTTGGCCAAGAAAGACTTGTTCTCCTAATCTACTTCATGACCACGTTGCTTCCCGTGCTTCAATAAAGTGGAATAATCTTAATGACATGGTTGATTGTCAATGCTGTTCCAACAACCATGGTTTGAAATTGGTCAGAAGATCTACAACTAGAATCAAACTTGAGGAAGGAAGTAGTGAAACCTGAAAAGGTATACATAGGTTTAGTTATTAAATTTAGCCCATGGCTGAAGAAAGTCGACAGGCGTACCTGGACAGCTTGAAATCGTAAATTGTGTGCCTATGGCTCCTCCTACCAGAAAAATAATGGGGATTGATTTGATCATTCTGAAAACGTGGAACTCATGTTATGATAAGTGGTGGAGAAAACCAAATTGTTCATATGTGTGGCAAAAAAGTAATGGTGTGTTAATAATTTATGAGAATTAACACACGTCGTTTAAGTTCCGTATGTAAATTTGAGAGTTATTAATACATTACATTTTAAAAAACGCTAATTTATTTTACACATCTTATTTAAATTATATTGTAAGGTTTAGGGTTAGTCAAGTTGGCTAGAGCGGATATGCTCCACTCTTTGCACCAGAGTTCAAATCTCTCTGCCCGTAGTTTAAATTAGATTAAAGTAGAATACCGTTCGTATAAAACAAAATTAATAATAATTTCATTGTAGGGCTCTACTTTATCTTTTCTTTGGTCACGTGTAAGCATTAGACCATAGTTATAGTTACGTTTGGGGACCTCTGTGTTCAGATTTTCATTTATCTCAGCGTTGATTACTATCTTTCCCTGTTTCCTTCTTTTGTATTTTGGTCGATTTCGTTTATCCTACTCATAGTTTGGACCAAATCTAAGTGTCATCACTTTCACTTGAATGAGATTACGTGCCTTAAAAAATCTCCCCATATCAAAGGAAATCTATTTTCTAATCTTTTCTTTTCAGTAGACAAATAACTTAGGTGTCCATCTTCTCAACGAAGCTTTGGCTTTCCTTCTGTCCAATTGCGCTTGTTACCCAAAACCAACCTTTCCAAAACAGTCGACTCTCTTTCTCTCTCTTCTCTCAAACACTCACATACAGAAGAAACTAAAATGGTTAGCCTTGAGGTGGAGAGAACAACAACAGGATGGGCTGCAAGAGACTCTTCTGGGATTCTCTCACCCTACACCTACGTTCTTAGGTAAATCAATTTCATATCCCTCCCTTATTTTTGTATGCGTGTGTTTTTCCTACACCTACACTCTTAGGTAAATCAATCTCATATCCCTCCCTTATTGTTCTATTCTATGTGTGTGTTTTTATCTCCTATTAGGATACCGACTCGCTTAATTTATTTATCAAATGATGTATATGTACGCATGTTAGAACGAAAACATCGTACATGGTTTAGTAACTAAATTTGGTGAATAAACTTAGTGAGCATAGTATAGTGATCATCTATTCTTTCTACATGTCATGTACCTCTTTCTGCTGATTTTTTTTTAATTTTAAAAAAAATTGCAGAAACACTGGGCCGGAAGATGTTTACATCAAAGTCCTATTCTGTGGAGTTTGCCACACTGATACTGTCCAGGCCAAAAATCATCTTGGCATGTCAAAGTATCCCATGGTTCCTGGGTATATAATAAAATTAATGCCACTTTCCTATATATGTTACAATATTTACTTATAATTACATTATTTTAAATATATAATAAAATTGCAAAATCTTCTGCTGGACGGACAGGCATGAAGTGGTTGGTGAGGTGGTGGAGGTGGGATCAGCTGTGAGCAAGTTCAGAGTAGGAGACGTGGTTGGAGTTGGGCTCCTTGTGGGTTGCTGCAGGAACTGCAATCCCTGTAAAACAGACAACGAGCAATACTGCAACAAGAAAATCTGGACATACAGTGACGTCTACACCGATGGGAAACTCACCCAAGGCGGCTTTTCTGCTGCCCTAGTCATCGATCAAAAGTAGCAACCAAAGCATAATAAGTTTAATCTTTTCTTCTTCTTTTTTTCGTGTGAAGCATATAATAACCGTAACTCTAACAAGATATATGGCACATCATACTGTCAATCAGAACCACACATTTAAATATTACCTAATCAACGCTTATATTGATTTACAAAATATTGGAAGAGTTTCTAAGTTCGGAAGTACAGTAATATTGACTGATTTTGTGTTTTTTGTTTGGTAAGGTTTGCGGTGAAGATACCAGATGGCATGTTGCTGGAACAGGCGGCGCCGCTGCTGTGCGCCGGGGTGACGGTGTACAGCCCACTGAGGCAGTTTGGTCTGAATGTGAGTGGGTTAAGAGGAGGCATATTAGGACTTGGGGGTGTAGGACACATGGGGGTGAAGATAGCAAAGGCCATGGGACACCATGTGACTGTGATAAGCTCTTCTGACAAGAAAAGAGTGGAGGCTATGGGACATATTGGGGCTGATGAGTACCTGATCAGCTCAGATGCCACTAAAATGCAAGAGGCTGCCGATTCGTTGGATTACATTATTGACACGGTGCCTGTGGTCCACCCACTTGAGCCCTACCTCTCTTTGTTGAAGCTTGATGGGAAATTGATCTTGATGGGTGCTATCAACGACCCTTTACAATTTGCCTCCCCCATGATCATGCTTGGTGAGTCCCATTTCTGTCACCATCTTTCTTTTCTCGCGCGAACTTTTTTTTTTCCATTCGGAATTTGCTTCGCCTACGAGCTTAGATTTTAGGTTTAAAGTCACGAGTTTTGCCAAAGCTAAAAAATGTAGACTCAAAATCTAAGCGAAAAATCTGTGCCAGCTAATTTAAAATTACAAATTTACATTGTCATTCAACCCATTATTAACGTTCTGATAAGATAAGACGATCGCATTACTGACTCGACATGACTCAAGCTTATATATATTATTGTCTCATTTTCTGACAGCTTAAGTTTTTGAAGTTCAACGATTGTCAAAGAGATAATAATACTTTTATCTATCTAAATTGTTCAATTATGTACAGGGAGGAAGACAATCACAGGGAGCTTTGTGGGGAGCATGAAGGAGACAGAGGAGATGCTTGAATTCTGCAAAGAGAAAGGATTGGAATCAATGATTGAAGTGGTTAAGATGGATTATATCAACACAGCCTTCGAAAGGTTAGAGAAAAACGATGTCAGGTACAGGTTCGTTGTGGATGTGGCTGCCAGCAATCTTCATCAATAGAGTGAAATATCACATAATTCCGACTATATATTATTGAGAACTCTATTTTCTTTTCTTTTTTTCTCTATTTTCACACAACAAAAATATGTTTATGCCCATATGATGCTTTCATATTGTCTTAGCCCTACTGTGATTGTTGTGATAGATGGGACCATTGTATTCGGTGTGGTCCTTACTTGACTATGGCTTATCCAAATAAAATTTTAGAGTCCTCCAATTATGTCACGCGTGACAATTTTGTTCGTTGGTCACATTTTCCTTTTTGAAAATTTTCCGAAAAGTAGATAAGATCCGGGGGGAAAACAAGTCATAAAAATAAAATAACCAAAATTATGAATTCCTCCCTTGATGTTTCTTTCATTTTCTCCAATGGCTTTGTTGGCTTCAACAACCATGGTTTGAAATTGGTGACACTTAAAAAGAAAAGGTTTGCACTTTCCAAAATAATTTGCACTCAAACTGCTTGATTCTGTGCCTGACCTTCAACATTGATAAAAATCCAAGATCTACTAGCAAATTGTAAATTGTAAATACAATAATAAATAAAAAAGAAAAAAAAGGAGAGAGCAAGGGAGGAAAATGTAGCTCATCTTTGTCAGAGTTAAATTTAGTGGAGGCTCCTGACCAGCATAAAAAGAACAAACAATTCACACTGCTGCATCGGAGCTAAATCTTAACAAATGTGGCAAAAAGAGCTAGCCTTCTAGAACCTGGTTTCAACCCTCTCCAATTGCTTATTCACCATACATGTAAAATACAACACTCAGCAGGATAAAAGAAAATGAAGGACTACCTACCGACGATGTATGCTGTGACCGGGCCTATTCAATTGACTCCAAAACATCTTGGTACAATTTAGAACAGTACCTTCAAAAGAAGCCAACTGTAAATTTTCAAAAATTTATGTATGTAAATGCAAAGCATAGATTTGATATGGAGACAAATCATAGCGTTTGATACATCTCTGGGATCAATATTCAGAATCTCTAAACAAACACTTGATGCCCTATCTTCCTTGGTTCCAACTTCCATTCACAGTGGTAAAATGCCCTACAAAGAATGCCACAAAAGCTTTTTCCTATGTGACCTCCTGCTAGTAATCATATCATAGAAGCAATCAAGAATCCATCGATGTCTTCTCAAGTTGTGGGGCCTCTGAATTAGTACCCAAACTTAACGTATGTGCTGTCTTAAATGTTTGCCTCAATTAAATCCATACTCGTTGACTAAAGTACATGTTCATAAAGTATCTTGAAGGATTGAAGCCACTCAAAATCACTGCAGAAGGGGATAACGAACAATTTCAACATAAAGTGTAATGGAACGCAAAGCAAAAGCAAAGTCAAGAGTCTCATGCAACACTTACAGATCGGAGAGAGGACAATGACAACACTGATTGGATATAGGAAGAAAGTCGTCCTCTCCAGAAAGGGCAGTACTGCAAGAACAGGACACGTAAATCAGTATGACGCATGAAGGCCTGGCATTAATATTTGTTACTCAAAATAAACCGCCGACCACTTGAATTCCCAACTATATCTCAAGTTCTTAACAAGAAAGTATATCATCCACAAGTTTGTCTCATAGAGCCTTTATCATATATACTGGAACAAAAACCAACAGGACAACACAACACAGTTGAATTCCACTCTAAAGTCATGAGGTTAGATTACAAGCTGATGAGCTAACTTAACTGCTGGAAACACAAATAATTTTTTTTGGGACTTGAGAGAATTCAATATCACTGACTATAGAGGAGAATACAATGCTGGCCACCTCTGCATCTCCACTGCATAAGTGGTGGAAGCTCTATGCACAAATGATTTAGGTGAACATGTCCACTAGTTACCGGTCTTTTATTTTATGAAATCAATTGCACATTTCACCTATTAGAAAGCTGATTGAATTCATAAATTTTGGCCTTTAAGCAACATCACTTTGTATCCACATCCAAAACAGCAGCAACCATTTAGTAGTAAGATCATAGTGACTTTCAGAAAATAGTATCCGCCATAAACAGCATAGGCAAGAATGATCTCATCACACCATCTGCACCTAAACATTTGAAAGAAAATTCTTAAGCTCATAACGAAATCTTTAGCTTACCATCATAACCTAAAAAGTTGAGATAATGATAGTATGAAGTCGCCACCATGAATAGCAAATTTGATAGCAACACAGGAATGAAACCATGAGCTACCAAAATTGGTGATAGAAAATAATGGATCACTGCACAACAAAGACATCAGAACATCATTTCACACATTTGAGATTGATAATATGATAAGGAAAACACTTTTTTGTATTAATTACCGTA